GGCCCCGCCGACCCCTCGCGCCTCACCCCCCCCGAGCATCCCATTGGTTGGTGGAGGCCGGGCCCGAGCGCACGCGCTCTGCATCTGTAGCGGCGCGAGCGACGGCAGCGCGGCGTTCCATCGGTGCGGGCCCGCGGCATGGCCGGGCCGGGGCTACCGGGGCTGGCGCTGGTGCTCGCGGTGCTGCTGCCGCTGCCGCCGCCGGGGCTGCCGCTCCCGCCCGTGAACGGTGAGTCGGGGGAGCGGCCGGGCGGGCGGCGCCCATTGGCTCCCCGCGCACGCCCTTCGCTCTCATTGGCCGGTGCCCGCGCGCGGGCTCCGCCGGGCGGGCTGTGAGGGGGGTGTGTGCAGGGGCTTCCCCTCCTGCCCCCCCCGCTCCCCTCAGCCCCTCACACCGTCCCCGCAGCTGCCCCGTCCCGCTGCCCCCCGGACCAGTTCCAGTGCGCGCCCGGCGAGCGCTGCTTCCCGCGGGACTGGCTCTGCGACGGCCACCCCGACTGCGCGGACGAGGAGGACGAGCAGGACTGCGGGACCGCGACCCCGGCGGAGCCGAGTCCCGGCGGCCCCGCGCTGACCTCGCCCTGGAGCTCGGCGGGGCCGCCCGCCGGCAGCGCAGGTACGGGGGGCGCGGGGCGGCAGAGCGGACGGAACCCTTTGTTCTCCGCTGTCTCCGGCCTCTCCGGGGCAGCTGCGGGTCACTGCGGGTGGAGGAAGCGCTGCGGGAGACCCCCACCTTCAGCTGCCTCCGGTTGGGACGGCGCTGACGCCCCCGGGGCTTCCTCGGGAAGCGCCTTTGTAGTACCTGCTTCCTTCTTCCAGAACACGCAACCCCCAGCAGCTCCCTCCCAACGAGCCGGCGGCACTGGAGTCTGTCTGCCTCCCGAGCTCCTCTGATCCCTGGGGAATGGGCAGGCTGAGGGGAAGAGGATGAGGATGAGGATGAGGATGAGGATGAGGATGAGGATGAGGATGAGGATGAGGGAGGCAGCTCTGGGCCGTCCGGTGTCCGGGCAGTGTCTGCACGCCCAGCACTGCCGGCGCCTGCTGCTCGGCTCCGTGGGGTGTCCTTTGTGCTTGGAAGTGCTGTTCTGGCTTCCCTTACCCGGGGATTCCGTGGTGTCCGGGAACTGCAGCACCATGAGTGTGGAGAGGAGGGGCATTGCTGCAGGGCTGACAGACTGGGTGTGGGTTTGGTGCCTGCTCCAGTTCACTTGGCAGGTGGGGAGATGAGCTGTGTTTTGGTTGTACCTGTGGCCTCCCAGTGTCTTGAGAACAGGTCGAGATGCTGCAGCTCCAGCTGGGAAATATCCCAGCTTTCACTGTTAGTGTTTCCAGTAGAACTTTTTTCCTCCAATGTGGGCTAATCACAGCGGCAGATAAATTGAAAATGACCTTTTGGCACTCTTGAGGTGAGCTGGGAACTCAGACAGGTGTGGGCTGGAGATTGCTTTGAGTGCTGATTGTAAGATAAGTTGGAAGCCTGATGGACTTGTCTCTCTTTCCTCACAGAGGCTTCAGCTACTCCTGAGCCTGGGGTCTCTGTGCCATCAAGGAGTCAAGGTTACACGTGGATCTTGATTGTTGCAGGTATGTGAGACTCAGAGTGCTGCATGTGGTCTTGGTCCTGCCGTGGGCTGTAAATTGATGAAATCAATTCCAGACCTGTATAAGTAGCTGCTTTTGCTGTGCTGGATGGGCTGAGGGAGGCCTGACACCACAGCTTAATTATTGCTCTGCCTTAGTTGTGCTGTGTCCTTGGAAAGGCCATGCCATGAGATCTGGCACTAACTCACTTCCTCTGTCTGTCCTTTGCCCTCAAGGGAAGCTGCTCATCTCTGGCTGTTGGCTGGTGGTGTTGAGCAGCAGGGCCCAGTCCTGATGCCCAGACCAGGGCAGTCAGTGAGTCTCTGCTTGTGCATTCTCCTCTCCAGGGCTCCTCAGCATCCTGGTAGCTGCAGGTTCTGTTGCTGTGTGGGGCCTGTTCAAAGCAAAAAGCCGATCTAACACCGTCAGTCTTGAAAAAGCATCCAGGGAACAGCTTATGTCTGACAAGAGCCAGACAGGCTC